TGTCTCTCTCATCGTAGTTGTCTGCTAGTTCTAATTAGCAAGGTTGGTGCACTCTGGGTTTCATCTATTAAACAATGTCATCTCTCTGAACCCCCGACACCTTCTCTGCAACAGGATCCTATCTTCTGGAATGAAGTTTGAAATTCAGATGATTCCCACCCTACAAGAAACCCTAAAGACCTGGCTATTTGCCAAGGCCTTTGTTAAAGATAACTGATGTCTCTCTCTTCCTTTTTGTTCCCCTCCGGGTTGTTATCATATGTTTTTTTATAGGTTTTGCATTTTTAAAAATGTTTTAAAAGGTCACCAAGAATCACTGGGAATTTGGGTGGCATATAAATTTCATAATTTATAGTTGGTCAGCCAGATGTTTAGATTGGATTTGGCATTTTTATCTGTCGAGCCCTTTTCAAGAATCTGGGGTAGACAGATTTTGTTTGAGGTGTTAAAGGTATTGTTGTAGGATGTAAGTTGTTCCAAGAAAAAACGCCTTTTGCAAATGACTGATGGATTTCAAGTGATGTTCCAGATATTTTAGAATTGTACCCAAGGTTCCTATTACTATAGGTACTGTATTTGGTTTCTTTGGCCAAGGGGAAAAGGGGAAATGTGGTGTATCAGAGGGAAAATGATGTCTACCTACCTTGATTCTCAAGGACATTTTAGTGAAATGTGTGTGTACAAGTTTTGGAAACTCTGGAGTTCTATATATTCTAATTTAGTTTAATTTAATTATATTTTGAGGCTTTCTGAATTAGTGCATTGATGAAATATCAAGCAACATAGTAACTGGAAGAATGAATCTGTTTTCTGTGATTGGGAATTGAGTTAATTTGGAAGGAACAGCTAAATAGCTATTAATTAACCAGAGTAATCAAGTTTGACTGAGCTGACCTCTTTTGGTTCCAGAGTAAACATTGTAAATGTCGCCAACCACAACCTGCTGCATTCTTTTGATCTGCCAAAGGCAGTTTGCCTTGAATTCTCTCCAAAGAGCAATATCCTGGTGACATGGCAGCTTTATACAAGTGAGTATTCTAGGTTTTTCTCCAGCTACTGCAAACATGACAGCAACCATGCTAATTTTGAATAATATAATGATCAAGTAGATTATTTTTTTGTTCTGAACTGGAACATTCAAAATATACAACCTCTGAGGAAAAGAGGATTCAATCAAAAACAGCAAAAAATGTTTATGACTTGGGCTTATGTTTCCTTTTTCTGAACTCTCATTGTATTGTCCAGAAACGTTTAATCAATCCCCAACATTGATTTCCTTAACTTAAATATATTATTTCATATTGTGAACTCTGGGACAGTAGAGATGTACTGATTTTCTTCTGTGCGATATTCTTCAGGTATTAAATTTCTGTGCAGCCCACAGTCACCATGTAGGGAAGATGGGCAGCATAGAAATGTAATAAATAAATATAATAAATAAATTAAAATATTTGAAGACACATTTCCATGTATCTCTACACTTCACTTCTATGCTAAATAAACAATCCAGGCCCCCGGGGCCTAACCATATGTGATATTATTTCTTTTTTCCAAAGGTGGGGTGGGAAGAATGTGATTAACTTTTTAATGTTGCACTGTTTTACAAAATGGTTTCGCTACGACAGAAAAAGGAAATTGTTTTATGATTTGTCATGCCACATATTTTCTCCATTACTCCACTACCGTTGGCAGTTAAAATGATATTGCAGAAAAAAACAGTATAAGTGTCAGCATTCCAAATATTCAAATACATAAATATCTTTCTGTCAGCAAAAGGGTTGACAACTGAGAATTGTCTTATCCAGTAGTTTAGTGAATTTCATCTTACAGTGGCACGAATGGCTAATTTTGATTTGAGAGGAAGAAAGCTATCACTGTTAGCAATTTTTGATGATAAAAATATTACTTTGTACTTGACAAAAAGGGACTATGGGAGAAAAGCTCCTTTTCTATCAAAGGTTTGCAACAAAACATCACCTGGATCGGTGGTGTATTGCAGAGGAACAGCGATAGTTTTGGAGATGTTGGTATAATGTATACATTTGGTATGTTGTAGCTTCAAAAGATGGTGCAGGGGAACCTAACCTTCAACTTTTCAGTGTGAAAAATGGAAAATGCTTGAAGTCATTTATCCAGAAAAAGTCACAGAACTGGTAAGTAGTATTTCAATGTACTTTATTATTTAGAACATGGTATTTGAAAACACTAGAATGTCTAATACGTTTTTCAACTCTGCAGAAAGTTCCTTTGATCTCTATCTTTCTAGCTCTCAACACATTAACTCTACAAAACTGAACACAATAAGACCATGTTTGGTCTGCAAGAGAAGCCAGCAAAAGAAAAAATGAGTTGGAAAATGGTCTATGGGTTGGAGAGGCAAAAATTCTAAAAATATTGTCCCACCGCATGCTTATGGGCAGCTACTCAAAAAGTTTCTACCAGCTTCATTCTGAATACCTATCCCACCTGATCAGATGATAATGCATACGTCCTGTCCTGTGCTTCCAAATGCATGTGTCTAAACAAATACAGCAACAGAGATGCAAACGATATAACAAATCACTTCATTGTACAGAAAAGATAAAGATGGGTCCTGTGGTCAAAAAGGAAAGGTTCCATAAGCTGTGTTCTCCATGCATGTCCTCTGTTTTTTCAGGCATTGATTTTTAATTTCTTAAAAAATGTAACTTGTTTTCAGAGAAGAACATATTCTTGGGGACATTTGAAAATATAATAAGTAATGATTAGAATCTATGAATTTGCTTTTCACATTTACAACTTAAATATATAACTTTTAATGTTAATATTTTAAAATCTGCTTTTTAAAAATAGTGTTAAAATACTTTTTCTGAAGGCCACAACTACCAGGTGTTGGTTTTAATATTTATTTCACTCCACCCCACTCTCTAATCATTAGGTGTCCTTGCTGGTCAGATGATGAAAGCCTGTGTGCCAGGAGTGTTAACAATGAACTTCATTTCTTTGAAAACAACGACTTCAGTATGCAAGTTCTTTCTTGTTCTCTAGATAAGCAATCCATGTTTAATCTTTTCATGATTTTCTTATGTTTTCAGCTGCTTGCTTTATTGCAGTTCCCACCTTTAGTCTTTAATAGTTTTGAAGTTCCATTAAGTATAGGTAGTCCTCGACTTACAAACACAATTGAGCCCAAAATTTCTGTTCCTGAGGCAGTTAAGTGAGTTTTGCCATTTTACTACATTTCCTGCCATAGTTGTTAAATGAATTACGGCAGTTGATAAGGCTTCCATATTAACTTTGCTTGCAAAAGATTATCACGATCTTGGGAGACTGCAATCATAATTATCACTGGTTACTTGCCAAGCATCTGAATTTTGATCATGTGACCAGAGGATGCTTTAGCAGTCATAAGTGTGAATAATGATCATGTCACTTTTTTCAGTGCTATTGTAATTTTGAACGGTCACAAAATGAACTATTGTAAGGTGAGGGCTATATGTAATATGAAATTTTACTTATATCTTTTTATTTACCTCTAAACCTTTTGCTATATGGTCGTATTTTACCTAAAATGCAGCCATTTTAAGCTTTAAAATATTTTATATTACAAGATTTACATTAAATTCAATCTGCTTGAGATAAAATTTATAGTCAGTTATTTTCTCATATTTATAAAGATATACAATCCATGTAAAATCTTTTAAAGTAGCAAATATGCGATGTGTACAATATATTTTACAATTGTTTATTTACTTATTACTTGCTGAAACCCATAGGCAATGCTACCTAACAATTCACAAACGTTTTTGTTTATTTTGTTAACTTGAGGATGGTGATCTTTGCAGGTACAATTGCAAATAAACTTCATCTGCAGAAAATCAATGATTTTGTGTTGTCGCCAGGAGATCAGCCAACCAAGGTGCTTTCTTTTGAATTCTTTCCCCAGCACAATTTTGATTTCATCCAGATTTTAGAACATACCTATTTTTAATGTTTATTTTAACAAATATTTCACTTCTTGTTAATGCAGGTTGCTGTTTATGTTCCTGGAACCAAAGGAGCCCCATCTTTTGTAAGGCTTTACCAATATCCTAACTTTGAAGGCCCACAATCGGCATTGGCAAACAAAAGCTTCTTTAAAGCTGATAGGGTGAAAATGCTGTGGAATAGCAAAGGTATTTTTTTAGAAAAAACATTGTCTTTATTTGAGTCTATTTTTCTTTTTCTATATGTAGTCAGATATAGGCTTGAATAATCAAAATGCCCAAAGGACATTTATACTTGGTATTATGCTATGGCAATTCCATTTTGTATAATTCTAACATACAGTAAACCCCTGTACACTTATTTGAAAGTTAGCTCTTCAGAATACACTGAGAAATATTCCCATTGTGCAAACTCTGTTTTAGGAATAAGGATCTGGAGGAGAAACCAAAGCACCTTTTTCTAACTTGGACCATTTTGGTTTTGTTAAGTAACTATTTTCATAATTTTCAGCCATTGCATTCCCTGGAAATTATAGCCCAACAGTCAGAGGACATCAGCTGCAAATTATGATTTAGAAGAAACAGAAAGATGTTGGGATTAAAATGGTCCCCTTTATCCACAGCTAGTTTTTAAAAATCATACTGCTCTTCAGACTGCAAGAGTGCATATAGCTATGTTTATTATTTTAAAAAAAATAGATTACTGTGTAGTTTCTTTTTAAAAATAAACTTTTCTTCTTCATCTGAATAGCCACTGCAATGCTTGTGATAGCTAGTACAGAAGTTGATAAAACAGGAGCATCTTATTATGGAGAACAAACTCTACATTACATAGCAACCAATGGAGAAACGGCTGTCGTACAACTACGTAAGTGGCTCTAGTAATATATATATATTATGTTTTAAAGCATTTAAACACATGATGGAAAGAGAATCCCATGAGAATTTGAAGATCACCTTTAAAGAGCCATATTTAGATATTATGATCAACCAGTATTTACTGACTAAAATGGAGTAAAATATTTAAGATTTAAAGTGAAAGTTTCCATTATATAAAAAAGATGTTTATGGAACAGAGAGACCAATTCTATATGAGAAGTCTCTTTCCAGACTTACACTAGAAAGAGACTCTGGGGCTGCCAACAAATTTTAAGGATTTCTCTCTTTAAAAACTGCTTAATTACTTTTATTCTATATGATTGCATTTAATGAAACTGTATAGATTTTAGACCTTGAATTATAGTTTCATCATGATTATGTAATAACCAAATTTAAAAGAAAATATCCACATGGAAGGAAAAGATCCAATTACTTACAAACTGCAAAATTGTATGTGATCTGAATTCTGCAACTGTTCCTTATTATTAAGCCTATTGAGGCTTTTTCCAATCTATAATAAAAGTAAATAATGTATGTAACTATTAAAAATTGTTACAGTAACCCTTGTTCAGCAATCTTTTATGACTGATAGTGTGGGCAAGGGACCTGGGTAATATTTTGGCTGATGAATTGGCAGATGTTTCTCCAGTTGCTGGCCAGGTTGTTCACAGTTAACTGATTCTGAACAGAAAATGGGAGCTGTAGCTACTTAGTTGCAAAGAAACATTTATAGTGTCAAGCAGGCCAACACAATTTTAAATATAATGTTAAATAAACATATTGTGGTCTCTAGATTCTCAACTATTTACAGATACAAAGATGTATAATTTAATTTTGAGTTTATTTAAAGTCATAGATCAGGGGCTTAGCACTTCTTAAAACAATTCAAGTTGACCCGAAAACCATTTTCAATTTGCAAATGAGAAAACTAGCTTGGCTTGCCTTTCTATATTTAATTTTTGGTTCTACAGTAGATACAGACTATATTCCTCCTTCCTATTTGGCTTTTAACTAACATTTATTAGCAAAATTTAGTAGCACTTATGAATTCATTGAACAATTGTAATTTGTATTACGTTTAAGTTTTTTATTTTACTTGTCTCTCATCAACTTAGATATTGTTTTACAATTTCAGCTGGTTTTTTTTTTCCTGTACAGCAAAAAATGGTCCAATTTATGATGCAGCCTGGAATCCCAATGCCACAGAGTTCTGCGTTGTGTATGGTTTCATGCCTGCTAAATCTACTGTCTTCAATCTAAAATGTGATCCTGTGTTTGACTTCGGGACTGGTCCCCACAATGCTGTGTACTACAGTCCTCAAGGACAGATCTTAGTATTAGCTGGATTTGGAAATCTTAGTGGACAACTCGATGTATGGGATATTAAAAACTACAAACTTATTTCCAAACCACAAGCCTCTGATTCTACATATTTTGCATGGTGCCCTGATGGAGAGCATATAGTAACAGCTACATGTTCTCCAAGGCTGAGAGTTGGGAATGGATTCAAGATCTGGCATTATACTGGCTCTGTCTTATACAGATACGAAGTTCAGCCAAATGCAGAACTTTGGCAAGTTACTTGGCAGCCCTTTTTGGATGGAGTATTTCCAGCAAAGCCAATAACATATCATGCTGTTCCAAGCAAAGTGTTAAATGAGGAACCAAAGGCTGCCCCAGCGTATAGACCTCCAGCTCTCAGAAATAAACCTGTAACTAGTTCTAAATTGGTAAGTAACCATTATCTTCACGGAAGAGTGTAGAAAGATACCTGCTATGTCTTCTATGCCTCTGCACCAGTTAATTATAGCTGGTTATTTATACATCAATTATTTTTGTGATTTCCCTCCTCATAGCATGAGGATGAGCCACCCCAGAACATGAGAACACAGTCAAAAAGTGGTGATAAGCCATTATCTAAAACAGCACTGAAAAATCAAAAGAAGCATGAAGCCAAGAAGGTGGCTAAACAGGTATAAGCTGTTTTTATTTATTTTTTCTTAAGCATGATTCATTGCATTTTGAACCCATAGTATTTTGTAAATCATTGTTTAGTAGTATTCTGCATAGAATTTTGTATTAACCTCAAAGTGTCCACTCTTTCACTATCACATAAGCCAAAGTTAAAAATTCTGGAGAACTCAAAACATCTTAATCAATAAAATTATTGTCTAGAATGGTTTCATTTAAAAGTCATCTTAACTAATGATACATTTCATTAAAGGAGGCAAGAGCTAAAGGGAACCAAGAAATCACTCCAGCTCCTCCAATACAAAATGAATCAAGCAATACAATATCCTCTGAAATATCAGGAGATCCTGAATTGGAGAAAAAGATAAAAAATCTTAAAAAGGTAAGAGGTTTTTCCTAACAAAAGCTATTGATAGATCATTTCCCCATTTCCTTTTGTTGAACAGCAGTATTAGTGATCCTTGTTTTACTTTTTCTTATTGTGACAGCTGAAGCTATATGTCCAAGGTATATAACATGAGGTCCTAGGACCACATGGCCCCTGAAAACGTGTACAGCATCCAAAACTTCCAACTTCCATCAAAAGTGGCCACTAGAATTGTCATTATGGCTGCCATCTTGAATTTTCTGAATCCTGTCTATCCCTGTAGATTTGCTGGTTTACAAAACCGCAGCAATTTAGTTCATAAAGCATATTAAGCTAGGAGATGCAGCTCTTTTTTTGATTGGGAAATAGGAAATGTACTTTTGCTATTATTGTCATCATTTTTATCTGTCTTACCTTCTCAGAGCCCCAAGAGTATAGTTGTGGTGTAATAAAGTCATTGGTTTGGGTAGGACTACATCATGGGCCTGGATACTTTGAATTGAGGCAGTGACAAGGGCCAAACTTGGTATAAGCTTTATAAAAATTCCACGTTGTCCCCAAATTGCAAAAAATGTGCTATCCAAAATCTGCATTTGATTAGTTTAGGTGCTGCAGGATGCAACATTGGGAATAAACCAAAATTAAACAGTTAAATGTTATATGTAAGTCTTATGCGTATCTGTACAACCAAAGAAGAGAGGTAAGAAGTTTGGATATTTTCTAGGAACTTAAGAATCTGCTTTATATTAAACCAATTGAAATATTGTTTTTGTGTAGTGTATACAAAAGGAATATAAAGACATTGGTAAAGACACTGCACTATTCTCTTTCAGCTCAATATATATATAAGAACCTCCACATAAGTGCATGTACCACAGAAAACAAATTAAATCTTGTTTTTGCCGTGCTTTTAACAATGTTTTCTGAATTACAGAAACTCAAAGCTATTGAACAGCTAAAAGATCAGGCTGCTGCAGGTAAACAGTTAGAGAAAAACCAGGTATGCTTATCATATTCTTAAGATAGAGTTGTCTATAATTTGTACATCACCTGAATTCTGAAAATGCATATTAATATTGCTTTGTAAATTATTAGCCAACTAGCAGCTGCTTCTTATTAACTGACAAGACCCTAGTTAGTTTCACAGTAAAGCTTTCTTTTGTTTCTTAAGCAGATAATTTCTAGCCACCAGCATGATAGTCAAGCAGCCAGTGCTAGTGACTTGTGATAGTGATAATTATAAATGAAATTGGGTATTGATCAACAAAGGACTTTTATTTATGCAATCTGTTTCACATAAGTTTCAAATAAACTATTGGTTTCTTTTTCTAAACCTTACACAATTTCATAAGTTTTATTGTCTTACATTAAGTTAAATATTTATTTATTTATTTATTAGACTTATATACCACTTCATAGGGCTTTCAGCCTTCTCTAAGCGGTTTACAAATTTTTTTAACAAATTGAGTCAGCAACTTGCCCCCATAGTCCGGGTCCTCATTTCACCCACCTCGGAAGCTTTATTGTTTTATTTGAAGCAGCATAGAGGCGTGATTTGTCATATCTGAATAGATTGAAGAACATAGAAAGAATCTGGAAGACAGGCAATCTTAAATCTGATACATTTGTAAATAATTGTTGATTATATTTTATACTATTTTTTCATTATGTGTACTAAGTAAGATTGTCTTATGTCTATATTGTAGATGGAGAAAATTCAGAAAGAGGCTATCCTTCTAAAAGAATTGGAAGACTTGGAACTGGATGTTTGAGCTACAGAAAATTAAAATTAAAAATTTCTTCTATGGATTCATTTGAAAATAAATAATTAGAAATGCTCAATTTTATTACTTTTCATATAGGTTAACTTTTTTCCTGCCTACCTTCTGAAATGTAAAATAATTATAATTTAGAAGTAAATCAGTTATCTCAATTCCAAAACAGTATTGCTGAAATCCAAAATAAAGTATATTGGAGTACCTATGTTTTTGGCAAATGCTAAGTTTAAGATGTAATCCTGATATATATTGTTTTTAAACAAAGGCTTGGTACATATATATGTAGAAGTTTGCAGTTCAATCAGCAAACCATGTGATTTACATACTGTGCTTTGGTTGTGATGCTTCACTAGCTATTTCATGGTTTATACTAAATACTACACACATACACATTTTTGTTTTCTAGGTCTTTAAGTTCTTCAAAACAGCTTTAAAACATACATATGTACATATACATATATACTTACATAAATGTGTGTGTATGTATGATGTATACATATTTACATTATATATACATACATGCATACATAAAATCAGTTTCCTATAATGTAAGAGCCTTTTTCCACAACAAATAAAAACGGATTGGATATTCAGGAACAAAATGTTTCATTAATAGGTTACCATCACTTAATATGATAAAGCCAGAAGAAATAAGAGTTTATATCTATGTTAGGAGGGATCAAACTTGCAACATCATGTGACATATTGCGACTTCCCCCTCCCTTCACTAAATCAGGCGTGAGTGTGGCCAACATGTGACACATCTGGCCCAAGAACCTATTAAGAATAAATCATAACAAACCTGATTTTTTAAAAAGGGAATTTAATACAACATTAACTTGAATAAAGCATTTGACAAATCCTCCCAGGACAAGCTAGAGCAAATCTAGAGGATTGTTACTAAAATGATAAGAGGGCTGGAAGAAAGTTTATGAAGAATAGCTGAAGTTAGAAAAATAGAAGATTCAGAGAAGCATGATTGTACTCTTCAGATACATGAAAGGTTGTTATGTAGAGCATGGGGCAAAATTATTCAGAATTGTTCCTGAAGACTAGTAAAGAAACAATGGGGTTTAAATGCAAGGAAATTCATTTTGGTCTCGCATTGGGAAAAATATTCTAATAGTAACAGCAGCTCACCTTAGAACTCACTACTGTGTGAGATAATATACTCTTGCTGGAGTCATTTAACGGGCTGGATGTCTCTCAGTGACACTGTGATTGTAGTAGTAGCACTGGGTATGGGGGTCATTTACGTGATCTCTAAGATCTCTTCCGACCATGCATTCTATTATGCTAAAGTTATTGCAAAATAAGGTCACGTTGGCAGATACCTGGCAGGAAAAAGAAACAAATGCTTTAAATGCCCTCTAGTGGAAAAGTCAAGCAATAGCTTTTCCCTTGCAAATGATAGACTTTCTCATCACTGTTAAACAGCGCCCCTCACATTTGACACTTGATGTTATAGATCCCTACAAAGGGCTGTTAATAGTTTAGCTTTCACACTACTATAAGCTAAAATTTTATTCATATTTGCTACCTTAGCAGGTTTTTAAATCAGATCATGTCACCTTAATTGCTTAATGCACCTTTTCTGAAGTACAAATTCAGTTGAATTCTGTTCTGTTCTGAATTCTGGTCCACCCATCCTTTGTATGTTTTTTGGGTTAAGACTGTGATGGTGCAGTGGTTAGAATTGCAGGGCTAACTCACTGCTCGCTCCAGGAGTTTGATTCTGAGCGGCTCAAGGTTGACTTAACCTTCCATCCTTCCAAAGTCGGTAAAACAAGGACCCAAATAGTTGGGGGCAATATGCTGACTCTCTAAACTGCTTGAAGAGGGCTGTAAAGCACTGTGAAGCAGTATGTAAGTGCTACTGCTATTAATACCTCATGCCTTTTGTCCCTAGAAAGATGGAGACTAGTCCATTTGCAACTGACAGGATTGATCTTGTAATGTCCTGCAAAGTCTGCTGAAACAGTTTGGTGTAGTAAATTCTAATATCCTTGGCACATCTGATCCTGTCTAGTTCAGATTTCATTTGTTTATACAATATTCATCACAATAATTGTATAGCATAGTTGTTTCCTGTCAGCGCAGGAAATGAAATACTCAGGCTGTAAGAATGTCTTTTATGAAATGGAGGAGAAAGCACTTCCTAAACCTGAGTGGCAGGAAAAGCAGCTAGCAAAAGTCCCAAGAGTTCTCCCACGCATTGTCTTTGTGCAACCAAGTGTGCCATAGAAAATAGGCATGACTGTCTTGCAACAGTATTTGAACCAATTCTTTAATGATAAGAGTTTTCCACCAGATTGGAATTATTGCAAACTGTTCCACAAATACTTTCTTTTCTGTCCATTATTTGTGTAATTATGTCATTTCTAATGACATAAAATCTCACACTTCATTAGCATAATGACATCATGATGGATGATGTACTCTTTAGGATATAAATCTAAGTATATCAGCTTGGTATTTTGCACTAGTTTATTTATAAGCATAGATCAGACCACCCCTCATTGTGTACCATCATACATTTGTTTAGAAGTAAACAAAGTAATAGCCAAAAGCCAACATGGATTTGTCAAAAACAGATCATGCCAGACTAATCTTATTGCATTCTTTGACAAAGTGACAAAATTACTGGACCAGAGGAATGCCGTCGATATAGTTTACTTGGACTTCAGTAAGCCATTTAATAAGGTAGACCATAACCTACTACTAGATGAAGTAGAAGAATGTGAGTTGGACAGCATCACCACCAGATGGATTCGTAACTGGTTGACCAACCGCACTCAACGTGTAGTCCTCAATGGAACTGCATCTACATGGAGGGAAGTATGCAGTGGAGTACTCTAAAGCTCTGTTTTAGGCACAGTACTCTTCAACATCTTCATCAAAGGATCTTGACAAAAGTGAACATTGGGCACTATCTTATAAAATGAAATTCAATGGTGAAAAGAGTAAGGTTCTACATTTAGGCAAGAAAAACGAAATGCACAGGTACAGTATAGGTGGTACCTTTCTCAATAGTAGTAACTGTGAGAGGGATCTTGGAGTCCTAGTGGACAACCATTTAAATATGAGTCAGCAGTGTGCAGCAGCTGCCAAAAAGCCAACACAGTTCTAGGCTACATAAACAGAGGGATATATTCAAGATCATGTGAAGTGTCAATACCACTTTATAATGCCTTGGTAAGGCCACACTTGGAATACTGCATTTAGTTTTGGTTGCCATGATGTAGAAAAGATGTGGAGACTCTAGAAAGAATGCAGAGAAGAGCAACAAAGATGATTAGGGGACTGGAGACTAAAACATATGAAGAACGGTTGCAAGAACTGGGTATGTCTAGTTTAATGAAAAGAAGGACTAGGGGAGACATGATAGCAGTGTTCCAATATCTCAGGGGTTGCCACAAAGAAGAGGGAGTCAAACTATTCTCCAAGGCATCTGAGGGTAGAACAAGAAGCAATGGGTGGAAACTAATCAAGGAGAGAAGCAACTTAGAATTGAGGAGAAATTTCCTGACAGTTAGAACAATTAATCAGTGGAACAGCTTGCCTCCAGAAGTTGTTAATGCCCCAACACTGGAAGTCTTTAAGAAGATGTTGGATAGCCATTTTCTGGAACGGTATAGGGTTTCCTGCCTAAGCAGGGGGTTGGACTAGAAGACCTCCAAGGTCCCTTCCAACTCTGCTATTGTATTGTAATTATACCAGAGGCAATATACGAAGATCTGAATTTCTAACGATAAATCTCATATATTTATGTGTCAGCGTTCCAAATAATACACCAATAGCAAATAGAATTCCGAGCCAGATAGATTCCTCAAATAATAGTTTTATTGGATATATCATATTGGTACAGTTCTGTTGAAAAACGTCTCTGAAGTTTCCTGCGGTTTTCATCTAATTAAAAGTTTTCCTCCTTTCCCAAACCATCAGTCACATGGTCCAATCAAGGTGCCATCCAGTTCCCTAGTAACGTCACTCCTCCTCGCTCCCTCTCTCTAGCCACCTGTGGGAATGTCCCTGATTCCCAGGAGAAAGTATTTTGTTTTGGCTACAAAACCCCAGCTACCTCTGTTCCCCACTCCCTATCCCTCAGCTCAGTGTGGCAACATTAAAGTTTCAAAATGGCTTCAGTCAGGTTAGCTTCAGGGTTGACATTATGCTCATTAGATAATACAAATATTTAGATGTAGAAAAATAGATTTACATTGAATTGGTTCATAGCATAACATGTTAAGTAAGGTCAGTGAAGTAATGGGGTGGAACTATAAAAACTTTCATTTATTGAAAGAACAAGGGCAGTATTTTACAAAAAGTTTCTTTCTAGAGAGTTACTTTTATGGGTTTATCTTATAGCTCTTTTGCTTTCCAAAGTCGTTTGATCTTCTTAAGCTTTATCAATTTTTCTTGAACTGCTATGTGTTTTATGGCTGCACTGACAGTGTTGATTGTTTTCCAGTTCATTGGAAGGTAATTAGGGAAGGGGATGTTTTGCTTCATTGGAATTTATAATAATTTGCAAAGTTATCAATAGCAGCATAGCATTTATTGGTAAGATGCCAACTTGTAAAGCATTTCCATGACTATTATCAAGTTGACATAAAAAAGAGAATGCCATGCAGACCTTTGGCCAGAGTCAGGTCTCATATTTCTACAGCTAGCGTGTGAAATGCACACGTTCATAGCCTGCCGCAACACCTTGTTGGTTTATGTGATTTATGACACAGACAGAAGGGAGGGGATACAGGGGTAAAGTTCAGATGCCATTAAGCGGAGATCAGTTTCGGCTCTGCAGAAGAACATGCCAAAATGTTGATCCTAATAAATGAATTGATTTCTTTTGAACTTTGTCTTGTGGCTCGTAAAATAATTAGGTCATCTTTTGGAAACTTCACAAATAACTGATAATAATTTACCAGTAAACAACTGGTAAATAATCAAATACAAGTATTAAAGGATACATTATTATAGTGCTGAAGAATAAACAAATAATAAGAGAACCAATAAAATATTAATAATGAAATCAATATAAAGTAAATATAAATAATTCAAAATGAAATAAATTAAAGATTTATTTAATTTATTTGCGATTGTAAATTATTCAACTAAACACTTTTGGAAATTTCTTCCACAGCTTCCGGAAATTAGAAGTGATCAAGCAAGTTATACCGTAATTCTAAGGAGAGGGTTTGCCACAAAGCCACACCAGAGCAGCAACTGAGAAACAATGTCTCCTGGCTTTTATTCCCTTTAGTTCACAAAAATGGGTTATGACCAAATGTACTGATAGCTCAAACTGGAAATTACCCAAGAGTGATTTTCAAATGAGTGGAAAACCAGAACTGTAGTTCTCTTAGTGGTTTGGACAGTTTTAGGAGGCAGTTTGTGGTTATGTATACACTGTAGACTCTACCAAGTTAAGAATAGAATAAGAACTGTGGAAATATTTGTTCAATTTAAGCTGCTCTCTTCTTGTTTTCCATTCTCACTCAGCATTTAGCCCTGATAGAAAATTATCCCCAAAAATCAAATATATCACTCTCAAGACCTATAGCAAATATCCTTCATTGCAGCATTGCTATCATTGGCTGATCTTTTTCACAGTTTTGAAAGCCAAAGAGTTATCATATATCTTTGCTTAGCATGCACAGAGCATAAAGCAATATGGCCACATCATATATTCACAAAGCAGAAATAAGTAGAAAAAGATAATGCATTTTTCAGAGTATAAGACGCACTCCCCTTAAAAGTGGGTGGAAATGTCTGTGCATCTTACACATCAAATGTTGTCGAAGCCCTGCCCACCCACTGGCTCCATCCTTCATCTGTTTTCGGCCTTCATACGTCACATTTTTGGCCTCTGCACATCACGTTTTCGCCCAGTTCTAGGTGGCGGGAATCAGCAGCAGCGATCCCCAGCTGGAATGCGCTAAAAACATGATGCACAGATGTTGAAAACAGGGTGTGCAGAGGCCAAAAATGTGACATGCGGAGGCAGAAAATGTGAAGCGCAGATACAGCGATTGGCAGCAACGTGCTGTGGCAATCCTTGAAGCCTGGAACGGGTCTAAAATGGAGTGTACAGAGGCCAAAAATGTGACACACGGAGGTGCCGATGGTCTGTGGAAACCCCCACAGCCTGGAACAGCTGATTGGCAATATTCCGGGAGGCAGATCCAACTGCCAATCAGCTGCTTATACTCCAAAAAAATATGGTAATTATAACCAGCAATAGAAGATATTCTAATTTATCAAAAAAGTATACTGAAAAATTATTTCTGAAAAAATATATTTAGAATTGCACTGAAATTTGTAGTATTTTTTCATAGCAGTTTTAAGACAATACTGAAAATATTAAAATTCTTATGGCTAATGAGATATAAAGATCACTGGAAACTTTTGATCAAACATAGTAATTTGTAGGAATAAGAATTCTCTGTACTTTTTAAGACTTTATATTTTATGTCTTACAAATTCCATGAGACTTGTAATATTATTAGTATAATCCTTTGTGGAATTTAATTAATCCCCTATATAAAACTTAGGTAAGAGGGTGAAAAAACCCTTCTTAGCCTAGTCTATAGTGTTGGGATTTCTTAGGAAGTTTTATCTAGCTTCTGAACCTATTTAAGGTTTGTCAGTTATTCCTTGACCTACAACTATCATTGAGCCTGGAATTACGGTTTTAAGTCATGATGGTCATTAAGTGCATCATCACATGGCTACACACAGTTTTATGATATTTTCTGTGGTGCTTATTAAATGAATGCATGGTTTTTAAGTGAATGTGGCAGTCACTAAGTAAGCCCATTTTAGTTAATGCCATCTTCTGGCAAAAAACGATGAAAACCATGGTCACATGATTGTGAACATTGCAAAGAGATGTAAATGTGGGCTGATTACCAAGCATCCAAAATGTGATCTACTGGGGTTGGTTGTTGGAACTTCAAAACTGGTTGTTAATCATTCTGGAGAGGTCTGTCATAACTTTGAATGGTTGCAAAGTGACCAATCGCAAGTCAAGGACACCTATGATTGTAAGCCTTACCATACTGTTTTTTCTTAATTCTGATGAAAAAATATTGTAAACATCAGCTCTCATTGATGGTCTTTTGAGCATGACAGAGAGGAAATGAATGGGCTGAAAAAATAATCCATATAAATATTCTCCTCTATAAAATGATTAGCCCATATTGTGTCAATGCAGTCTACTTTTATTTACTTATTTGGATTTATTAGATACACAACTCTTCTATTTTCATTTTCCCCATTTGCAGAGCTCAATGAATAAATTTAGACAAACATCTCAATTTTCCTGCATGTGAGGTTCATTTCTTTGGGTGCTGCAGCTTCTACAACTTCCTAGTTCCAGTAAGAAATGTTATGAAAGGAAAATTGTGATTTAAAAATACAGTGTTGACAGTTTGATGTCCTCATTGGTTACTCTTATTTTTATGTTTATTAACAGACTGGTACCTTAGAGTGACACCCAGGAGGATCATTATTTTTGAAGCAAGATTCCTTGGAGACTAATTATGCAATTGCGTTATTTATGAAGAATCCAGAAGATCACAATAAGGATATTTTTTCTTATGGCTGGGATTTTCTAGAGAAATGTGCTTTTAAAAATCTAGAATCTTTCTGAGGAAAAAAGACATCTATTAGTACATTGTAGCACAGCCTACTGTTTAGGGGTGTAGAGATCAGGATAACTAGCAGATTGCAGCATTAGAGTTGTAACAGAATTTCATCTAAAAGAAAATGTACCTGTGATTCTAATAAAAACTTCAGCTTCCTATTTTGAAAAAAATATATTTTTAGTCCTCCATGTGGCAGGCAGATGTCTAACTTCAGAAGTATCTGAATAGTGTCTGAATAGTACCTTAATTGCATTTTAGCAACCAATTCAGTCTTAATTTCATTAATGACCATATAATTTCAATTCAATCATTTCCTCCAAGGAAAGATTGAAAGCAAACAAAGTCCAGGCAGAAGAACATCATGGCTTCAAAATCTAAGGGACTTGCTTGGACAAAACTCAACAACACTATTTTGTGCGGCTATTGATAAAAATAAGATCGCCAACAAGATCGCCAACGTCTGATGACGGATATGGCACAAGAAGAAGAATCATTTTAGCGGTGGGAAGAGACACTTCTTTGAGAAAAGGATGTTGTTCTTAGAGTGCCTCAATGTACTGTCAGTCTTGCTGTAGAAATGCTTTACATATACAGTGCTATGTTAATAAAATAAACATAAACTGCTACTCTACAGAATCCCCCGGCTGGCTGGGGGATTCTGGGAGTTGAAGTCCACAGGACTTAAAGCCGCCAAGGTTGAGAAACACTGCCTTTAGGAGAACACATCCACAACATGATGACCCCACATTTCCAACCCACCTAAAGCCCTCGCCAGTTCGCTTCTCGACAGTTCAAGCATCTCTGCCCCTCACGGCCGGTGAGTCTTCCATCTCGCCCTCCCCCGTGTAAGTGACCTGCTCCAACGCGCAAAGCAGCTATGAACTTCCACCACATACTTGTGTATGAATTTATACACGACTGTCACAATACCATATCTGAGGCAGGCACGGTGTCATTCCTTTCCGTTGCCATTACAGCAGAGGCTCACCCTGCGCCGAGTATTTGGACCGGCACTCAGGCGACGGCGAGGAGCTCCTACGACCCTCCCTGAGCGATACCAGGGCCCGCTCGTTCATTTCCCCGCTCCTGAGCAGGAGGGGGGGGAGGGGAAGGGCAGGACGGCGGCGGTTGGAGCAGCCTTTCCCTTTGGGCTCGCGATAGGTACATTCCGGCGCAGGCGCATTACGACGCCGGCTCGCGTGACCTGAGCGCTGTCGGCGGAGCGGGCGGTGGAAGCTTTCCGCACCGGGGCCCAGGGGGTCGGCAGGCGGCGCAGGGAGGGGCCGTTCTGGGTCCAGAGGGCAGCGGGAGCAAGATGAAGCCGACCCTGGCACTGCTGTTGCTGGTGGCGGTGGCCTTGAGCGGCGCTGGAGCTCAGCCGGGCGGTCTACCGCCTGGGAAGAAACTACGCATGGCCTACGCCACCGGGCCGTTGCTCAAGTTCCAGATCTGGTGAGTGCGGAGGCCTGTTGCGTTGCCCGCTGATTCCCCACCGTAAGCTGGCGCCAAGATCAGCCCCGGCCTGTCGTCGCCGCCGCTGCCGCTTCCTCATTTCCGTGCTCTAGGGAGTTCAGGAAGCGGCGGCGGTTGGTGTGGGGAAGCGGCAAGAAATGTCACGACGGGGGAACCGACCCAAGTGGAAGTGCCGGGTGTGGTGGGGAGAAGTGGCGGGGGGAATCGGAATGGAGGCCGATCCTGAACTCTGGAAGCTGCGGGGAAAGGAGGCGGAGAGATGGTGGCGCTTGAGAGAAGCCGAGGAGGCGATGCAAATCTCTGCATGTCTCTGCAGACTGGGCTCTTTTCTAGGGAAACCGGCCTGGACTTGCTGGCTTCGGTGTTGGGTTGCTGCTAATATTAAGAATAACAGCAAGGAGATATTTATTGATTTGTTTGTTTATTTATTTTGTCAAACATGTATGAGATAACAGGTATAAGTATAAACATGGGCATGAACACAGGAAATGGGTACGACTAAATGGGGACAGTAAGACGGGGACGGTAGGTACGCTGGTATGCTTATGCATGCCCCTTTTGGACCTCTTAGGAATGCGGTGAGGGTCCACTTAGACAATTTAAGATTTAAGTTATGGAGGGGTTTGAGGATGTCGGGTAGAGCATTCCAGGCACTCTGCTGCTGAAGTCATATTTTCTGCAATCGAGTTTGGAGCGGTTTACTTTGAATTTGTATCGATTGTCTGCCCGTGTATTATTGTGGTTGAAGCTGAAGTAGTGGTTGACAGGTTGTTGCAACAGACAATTTAGTGTACTACGCTTAGGTCAGACTTTAATCGGCCTGGTTCTAGCTTCTCCAAGCCCAAACTTTCAAGCCTGGTGGCATAAGGTATTCTATTGTGAGCAGTGGTGTGGAATATTCTTCTTGTGAAATACTTCTGGACTCGCTTGATTGTATTAATGTTTGCTATACAGTGTGGATTCTGTATATCTAGGATAGAATGGAGATGCAGGCAGGTGTGAGGCTACAAAAATACAATATTGTAATAGTTAGGAAGTACTAAAACCTTTGCCTTTCTCTCCCCTCCCCCAAGAATTATTGGCAAAGCAAACTCTCCTTCCTAATCAAGGCAAACTTGCCACATCCGTAGTATGCATATTAAACAGGCAAGATCCAGTTTTAAATAATCTCATTAGCCTTTCATTTACATTTCTGTAGATTACTGAGTATATTTTGAAATTATGCTAAAAGATGTGTGTGAAGTGAGCTTGGAATTAGATCAGATAAATACGGGGCAGCTATTTAAGAATTGGAAGGCCTTGAAAGTCAGAGAGGTAACTTTAAGTGCTTAATAGCACAACGTGAGCTGGTGTTTTCTGATAAAAGAGTTGAGAACAGTACAGGTAGTCCTCAACTTGCAACCATTCATTTAGTGTCCAAAGTTACAACAGTACTGAAAAAAGGGACATGAAGAATTTTCATACTTGCAACTGTTGCAGTGTCCCAGTGGTCACCTGATCAAACTTCAGAGACTGACATGTATTTATAATGGTTGCAGTGTCCCAAGATCATATGAACTCCTTTTGCACCCTTCTGACAAGCAAAGTCAATGAGGAACCCAAATTCGCATAACAACCATGCTAGTAACTTAACAACCACAGTGGTTCACTTAACTGTGGAAAGAAAGGTCATAAAATGGGGCAAAACTCACTTAACTGTCTTGCTTAGGAACAGAATTTTTGGGCTCATTTGTAGTTGTAAGTTGAAGATTACTTGTAATATATAGTGCTGGAAAGTATCATTAGTATGGACTTTATGCCTTAAACCATTTTTGTCTCATATTACTTGCCTTCATCTTTTTCTTAGCGTAGTATGGACTTTATGCCTTAAACCATTTTTGTCTCATATTACTTGCCTTCATCTTTTTCTTAGCGCAACTGACAGTTTTACATTTAAATAGTATTTTCCCACTTATTCTGATGCTGTCCAAGGAAATCTTCAAGTTGTATATAAATTGTCAGATTGTTAAATTTTGTTAGCCCTTCTGTTGGAGGTTACTCTGGGCACTGATGATACAGCTGGATAGGATTTGACAGTGGGACAGCAGACTCATGCCAGCGTAATTTTCATCAGCTTGAAGGTAGATGAGTACATGTAGTCTTTGACACAACTGTTCATTTAGTGTCACTTCGAAGTTACAATGGCAATGAAAAAAGTGACTTATAACCATTTTTCACAGTTATGACCGTTGCAGTATCCTCATGGTCATATGACTTACACTCAGATGTTTGAGATCTAGATCATATTTGTTGATGGTTGCAATGTTCCAGAGTCATATGATCACCTTTTGTGACCTTCTGACAAGCAAAGTCAATAGGAAACCTAGATTCACTTAACAAATGTGGCAAGAAAGAGCGTAAAATGGGGCAAAACACACTTAACAAATTCCTCAGTTACTAATATAAATTTAGAGTTCAATTATGGTCATAAGTCGAGGATTATCTGTAATATAACTTGACAGTTTAGAAATGCCTAAAGTGTGATTACATACAGTGAATTTATTTGATTGGAGTGAGGATGAGGGATGCAGAAATTCAGAAATTGTAGAGAAAACAGAGTTGTCTTTAATCTGGTAATGTGTGGGTTGTGACTTTACAGTGAAAAAAGCAGTTAACTTGGGATAGTACAATGTTTCCCTGAAAATACGACAGGGTCTTATTTTCTTTTTACCTATGAAATATGGCTTGGGCTTTATTATGGGGGGAGGGTTTATTGTTTTGGGGTTGCTGGGCGGCTGCTCTCTTGCGAGTGGGCACCCAAAAAACCGGGGACAGCCTCATGGGCAAATGGCTATGTTGTGCTGTCGCAGCAGCGCAACACAACAGCCATGAAGCGACCACACTCACGAGCAGCCACCCGGCAAACCCCCATTGCAGCTTGGCACAGAGCCATTCACTGGCCTAGGGGTATAGCCAAGCCATGTGAGTGCCTGTTCGCCGCTTCCCAGCTCCCGTGGCTTGGCGCCTTCCAAATGCCAGTGAATGGCGCTCTGCACGGCTGGAGAGTGGTTGCGCGAGCGACTGTTCCGCTCTTGCTCACCCACCTCCCAGCCTCACAATGCATGGCCCAGCTCTCATTACGGAGTCAGGGCAGCACCACCGCCGCCATCCCAGCCTGGCTTTTTCCACGGCTTCCAATCCAAGTCTTTCGGCAGTGGCCACTCTGGGCGCACGCTCTATGGTTGTATGCTCTGCAGGCAACTGGCCCACAACCATAGAGCATGAGTCCAGAGTGGCCACTGCCGGCTGCAAAGGGGGTTTGCCAGGTGGCTGCTCGTGAGCGTGGTCGCTTCATGGCTGTTACGTTCCGCTGCTGCGACAGCGCAACACAGCCATTCATCCATGAGGCTGTGTCTGGCTCTTTGGGAGCCTGCTCGCAAGAGAGCAGCCTCCCGGCAACACCCCTCTTCAGCTGGGCACAGCACTGCTCACCAACCTAGCGGTACCCCGAAGGCGCCAAGCAACGCGATCACTTTCCCCCCTGCATATAAGATCCCTGGACAACCCGCCACCTTCGAGATACTGCTAGGTTGGTGAGCGGTGCTCTGCCTGGCCGGAGGTGGCGGGTTGTCCAGGGGTCTCATATGCAGGGGGGGGAGGTTATATTTTTTCCCACCAGAAAAATGTGACATGGCTATATTATGAGGACATGTCGTATTTTCAGGGAAACAAGGTAGAAATGTTTGTAGATGGTTCTGCTCATCTTTTTATCTGTTTTCCTAGTTGCAACCCCCCCCCCAAATAAAAAAACAAGTTAACTTAATCTTTGCTCAGTAATTAAATCAGTATAAAGGAGCATATGGTTAGGAATGAAGCAATAAAATACAGGTTATTCAAATCAGGCAGTGCAGACTTACTCAGCTTACTCCTGAGTTTATATGCATAGAATTGACACAGCAATTGAATAATTCTAAAAACGGATAATTCTTGTCAGTAAGCATACTTAACATTTCATTTATATGTAGCGTTTCCCGTGGAATTGGATACCAGGGGTTGCCTAGATTTGCTAAACTACAGCTTTGAAGAAACTGAGCCAGGAGAGCCAACTGTGATGGGTGCTGGAGATATAATCCTCCACATATTGCTGAATTAAATGCTCTATTCTAAGAATTTTTAGCCATCGGTTTTAGCAAAATATTTCTAAAATAGCAAAATTTTTATCATTCTTAAGGGTGAATATGGACTGACAATATATCTTTTAAAAATTTAAGTCCATACATACATACTTTTGGAAATGAGATTTCAACATTATGAATTACAAGTCTGAAACTAAACAAGCTAGATCGCCACTTAAATTTGATTAAAGATTTTGTGATTTTGAAATTTGAGAATATTTGTTTTTGTTCTGCCCTAGGTATCTTTTGATTCTTTTCTTAATTAATTGTCTTTTCTTTTTCCCCCATGAAGTGTTCAGAATTAAGAATATTTGTGCCTATTTCTTACTATTTTTAAACAAGCATTGTTATGTCTCTGATGAATCAGTGTTGCATCAGCATAACAAAACACATAGGAATTAAAGTAGGAAAACAGGAGATAATTTTAAAAAACAATTTCACATTAGTCTTTTAAGGTTTTTATTTTTAAAACAACCATTTAATAAAGTTTTTAAATAAATAATGTTATGTACAATTCCTTAGTCATAGCACTAAATAAGTCTTTTTTGTTTTATGCTGAAAGAGACTGGTTTACTACCAAAGCTGTTATTCTGATTTTTCCAATTGTTTCTTATCAAGATACTACAGGATTGCTGTACATTCAGATATAATATAGACACTGATTACTGAAAGACTTGTAACAAATTTTAATGTGAAACACTATGGAAGCAACAAAGTAATAATTTTATGTTACAAATGGTATTGCACAAAAAATGTAATCTTGTTTAATTGCTACTATTTTCTATTCTATTCATTTTTGCTAATATTTTAAAGGTCAAAGTATACTGGGTGGAATTAAAGTTAGCCATAGTTTTGCATAGTGTGTATCTACATGCAGTATGTTAAATAAAAATACAGTATAAACTAATGTCACAATAAAACCATAAAATATCAGTATTAGTCATTTTCCAATATAATATAACGAGGGGAAACATTTCTACAACCTCAGTATAAATCTATATATCAAGCATTGTTCTATACAAAATCACGGGTAAAAGTGAGAAACATCTAGCAACTATTACCTATTAAAACACTTTTTGGGGATATTAGTTTTTTGTTTTTTCTCATTGCCAGTATTTCTAATTATCTGCCTTAGAGTTCTAGAGCATTTGAATTTATCAGAGTGGTATGGAGGAAAGGGTTGTGTGTGTATATGTATGTATAAAATACTCAATCATACCAGTACTAATTGTGATAAAATACTTTTTGCAGTGTTTCCTGAGGATACAGGCGGGTGTTTGAAGAGTACATGCGGGTTATTAGCCAGCGGTACCCAGACATCCGCATTGAAGGGGAAAACTATCTCCCCCAACCTATATATAGGTAAGTTAGTTGTGAGTTAAAATATGCTAAGCAATTTACCTTAGGTCTGTCAAACTTACAGCCTGCGGGGTGGATGCGTCATGCGCTTGGCCATGCTCGTGCCCAGTTTAGCAAAGGGAGAAAAACTCCCAATGCATCATGTGATGCCGCCATGACGACACGAGTTTGACACCCCTGAATTACCTGAATGGATTGGGTGATATCAAGTTCTGTAATGTTAAGAAATCTCAAAAGCAATATTTGATTGCATTCTGGTTAAGTTTTAATTACTGGGTACAATAATAATAATGTAACAATCTGAAAAGTAGCAAAATATCTATAAGCAAATAGCTAAATTCAGAGCACACCAAAGACTCCATTTTTAAAGAATAATATTCAGCCATTGTTAATGTTCTTGAAAGTTTATGTGCAGCTTTTCAGATATATGGTAAAGCAAAATCCACTGGAATTCACATTGGCATGGCATAACTTTTGTTTCTTTAGATTAGTTAAATTTATTTTATCCTACTCTGGTAATTAACTTATCTTTTTTTTCTTCTGCCAGACATATAGCATCTTTCTTGTCAGTCTTCAAACTAGTGCTAATAGGCTTCATTATTGTTGGCAAGGATCCTTTTGCTTTATTTGGCATGCAAACTCCAAGTGTCTGGCAGTGGGGACAAGAAAATAAGGTACTATTTCTTAATAGCATTTTATTTTTTAATTGTGCTAGAAGCAGATTTTATACTATGTTTACTTAATTCAACCACATTACATGAGTATCCTCTTATAACATTTGAAACAATGTACCAAGCATAGTAATACAATTAAAACATCTTATTTAGGAATGGAAAAAATGGGCTCAGAGATTTTTTGGCTGCAAGTAAGATTTGTTTGTGTGTATATATGTGTATGTATATGTATATGTATATATACATACAGTATGCCTATGTATTAGTCTTAACTCTGGGACTGCTTGAACAAGCCCCTATTTCTTGGCAATATTTTTTGGAAGTGGCTTACCATTGTTCTCAATAAGGGTGGAGATAGCATCCATGCATGGGTTGACACTGTCCGTGCTCTGATTGGACTGAGTCTGATTACTAATTAATTAACCACCATATAACCCGTCTCCATGAGTGGAAACACCCAGTTTCCGACTCAGTCTATTCTGGGACAGTCGTGTTATCCTTCTTTTCTTTACCTTATTTGGTCAAAACTTTAATAGATTCAGAACTTTTGATTCTTAACAACAACTGTGAGTATCTTTGATCCAAACTTTGGGGATCTGGACGTTTGGGACCACAGGGCTGCTGCCCACAGGCCACGCACCTCCCCCCTGAACAGCACAAGGAGCAGTCTGCTCTCTCGCTAGTTTAAATGCCGCGCCTGGGAGGCAGAGAATAACGGACAGCGTGCACGGGCGGCATTTTCTTTCAAATCTGACAGCCACGAGACAGGGAGAGAGTCCTGAACGCCGCACAGTGGCTGGGAAGTGCACCGATTTCTGAAGCGGCTCCGACAGTGTGGGCGAGGCTGCCCTCGCTTTAAAAGAGCAGCGAGCCACAAGGGAGAGCCTAGGAGGATTACAAGTGCCCTGACAAGCTGAAAATTCGTAAGGGCATGCGGGCGCTTCTCTGCGAGGCTCAAAGCTGTTCTGAGAGACCTCGGCTGCTTTTTAAAAAGGTGCAAATGCCATTTTCAGAGGGGGCGGAGCCCAGAGTGCCCACAAAGATCTGCGGATGTCATTTTATGCCTTCCTTTGCTTTGGTGGCAGAATGGCCGACGATGGTGTGCCTGAGCCCTCCTCAGGCACTGGCAGGGATGTCGCTGAATCTGACCCTGGTCTCCTTGCTACAGCAAAGGCCCCTCTTACCCCTATTAGGGCAGCCCCATCTCAGGCTAAGACCTCCCACAAGAGCTATTCAGGCACCCAACAACAAAAAGGTTATAATTGATATAAGAGTGTTTTAAATTCTATTTAACGTCTTCAAAATTAGAATTTAATTTTAAAATTTTAACACTTTAAAATAAATAACTGAATGAAGAATGGGTTGAAGTTTAATAACTTGATCCTGGTTATATACTTTCTTTGAGGAAAGTGTATTTTTAAAGTGCTTTTATAATGTTCGACTAAAAAAATTTCCGAGCCATCTTGGTAAGATTTATATCATCTCATCCTTGAATAATACTGAACAAATGCTCATTAAGTATTATTAGGGCTGTAGCAGAATATTAATAAGCAGATTGTGAAACTATAAGTTTTTTTAATGGAGCTTTTGTTAGACACACACACACACACACACACACACTCTGTATTTATATATTGCATTTCTTAGGTTGCTTTTTTGTTAAAATTTTATGTTCCAGTGTTATTCATAAGTTGTTTTTTTTTCTAAATATAAATGATTTTTCTAATATAAAAATAGCAAATCAGTAAAATCTATTAAAGAATAATAAACAAGTATGCATAACAGATATTGCTATGAATTTAATTGGGGAA